TGTTTCTCCAGAAACTTCTTTCTCTGGGGAAATAAAGGCCTGTGGAAATGACGGTATGTACCTGGTAAACTTGCAATACCTGGTGCATTAACCAATTGTTCCAAACTCCTGCTTAACCATGCTCTCAGCCCACCTCACCTTACCAACAGCTATTGCTGCCTATGGCACACAAGTTGGGAGACAGAAAGATGCTCTTCATTACACAGAGCTGGGAATATTTCCCAGTTTCCTTAGGACAGCAGAAGTCTGAAACTTGATGTTACGCTTAACAAAGCCTATGAAAGATGATCCCAGCCTTTTCCTGTCTCCCGATGTACACCTGCAGGCACAGTCGCAGCCTGAGATGTAAACACCAGGTCACAGTTTGTGACAGGGAACTGTGTGCAATGGAAGTGTATGAAAGGTTCATGGTCCAACCTCAAATGTTGTCAGCTGCTTGAAATTCAGGACAGATTTGTCAAAAGGCACTTCAAAGCTTTCCAAGTGACCTCTTTTTTTTTGAGCAAATGCAAGCTCATTTACAGTTTCCCATCAGAGTCGTGTGGATGTGTGGTAAGACATGAAACAAACTGAGAAAAGCGCCATTCATTGGCTTTCCTGTGGCAGTTGCTGAATGTTGTGAAAGCCACAGATCAAAGCAGAATGCTTGATGCACGTCCTTAAATTAGATGTAATTAAATAGATGAGTGTTTGCACAAATCCCTGAAAAGCAAAACGGTCCAATTTAACCACACGCTGGTGCAGCAGCTCTTCTCACTTCAATGTTTTCAAAGTTTTCAGTAACAAAAACGCACTGAATGACAATGTTGTTCCATCTGATCACAAAGCTGCCCTGTAGAGTCACTTTGAACAAAAAGCACCTGCAGGGTGTTCCACCTGAAAGGCAACGTTAGGCTGTTAGAAAAGAGCCGTGCCCAGAAAGCAGCCGCAGGAGCCAGGGAAGCGCAGGCTCCAAGACAGGGACCGAGCGTCGCTCCTCCTCCTCGCAACTGGAGCTGAGGGCTGGGAATGGCAGCGGGTACCAACATCACTGGTAGCCGCCTCAGCTGCCGATGGGCTCCGTCTAACTTAACGAACGCGACCAATGACTCCTGCCGCCTGCAGTGGCACCGCACGGCACCCTCAGGAGAGCGTAACTAAAGACGGGATTTCCCTCTCCAGCCGGGTCTGGAGACTCGCGCCCACTGCGGAACCGCCACCACTTCGGGCCTCAGGCTTCTCCCCCACGTGTGTGCGGCCGTACGGGCGGAGGGGCCGCTCCGCTCCGGGGATGCGGCCGCACGTCGGGGCCGAACGGAGCGCTGCGTGCCCGCAGGGGGCCGCCGTCGGGGCTCCGCCAGTCGCAGGGCCCCCACCGCATCGTGCCCCTTCTCTCGTCCCCGCGCCGCGCCGGCAGCCCGCGTCGCCCACCAACGCCGAGCCCGGCGCAGAACTGCAGGGCAACAACAGCCTCTTCTCTGCGGCGGGGTCCAACGAGGCCGTCGGTGCTAAAACACAAAAGCGAACAAACAGCGCGCACCTCCCCGACCCCGACTTACCAAGCAGTGCGCGTCCCGTTCGTCGCCGTGACGCAGTCCCCCAGCGGACAGCAGCCGGCCGCCCGTGTGCCCGCAGCCGTGCCAGCCCGCGGGGCCGCGCCGCCAGGGGACAGGCAATGCCCGCAGCCCGCCCTCCCCACCCCTCCGCTGCGCGGGGCTCTTCTGCGCGCCTCCACCTCCATCCTCGAAAGCAACCGAAAAGGAAGAAAAAAAACCCCCCGTAGCCCACCCCAAACCGGTGTAAGGAACGGGTCTCCCTTGTAAGGAATCCCTGCGATGGGGACTCGCGGTCACGCCGCTGGAGCGCGGACGGAGCTCCGCTTTTCGCAGTACCCGCGGCGGGGTAACGCCAGTTGGCTGCTCCGGCGCTGCGCTCCTAAATCATGATGGACAGATTGCGTGAAAAGCAGGAATTCCAGAGAATTTCCTGCCCTGGGAACGGCAGCGAGGGCTATATTTAACAGCATCTGAAGCTGTCAAGAATGCTTTGCGGTTGGATAACAGAGCAGAAAAATGTGAAAAATGCGGGCTACTGCTATACCAAATATGGAAATATTGTTACGTCTGGTGGCTGAATCCCCATCTGGAAGCACTTACGGCCACGCAGAGAAAGGGCGCCACAACAGAAGCCCAAACGCTCCTTCCCGGCCCCAGCCCCGAACCTCCACCGGGAAACCGGTACCGGGAGCGCGTCCTCCCGAGCGGGGCAGCACGGGGGCACCGCAGCCAGCGGCCGTCTCGGCGGGGCCCGTCCCGCTCGGCGCCCGCAGCTCCGGTCCCGGGGCCCGATCCAGCGGCGCCCCCGCGCAGCGCTCGCCCCCACGGACGCCCGAGTAACGGGATCGCGTCCGCGGCGGTGCCGGAGGGACGCGGAAAGGCCCCCCGGGCAGCCCCCAGCCCCGCAAAGCGGCGCGGTGCCCGGACCGGGCGGGCGCGGTGACCCCCCGCGGCAGAGCAGCCGCCAGCGGCCGCGGTGCCGGGAGACGGGGCGGGGCGGAGCGGCCGCGCCGCGCGCCAGCCGCATTCCTGGGATGCCGCGAGCGCTGGACGCGGCCGCGGCCCGGAACGCGCGACGTCAGCGCCGAGGCGCACGCGGCGGCCCCGCGACCCATAAAAGGCGGTCGCGCCCGCCGCTGCCTCAGACCGCGCCGGCCCCGCTTCGCGATTGCATCTCGAGCTGCGCTCTCGCTCCGCGCCGCTAAGACATGGGCTCCGTAGGAGCACGCCCCGCGCTGGCGGCCGCCCTGCTCTGCCTGGCCCGCCTGGTAAGTGCCGCCCTCGAGGCTTTACGGGAGGGCTGGGGATAACGGATCGGCAGTGCCGGCGCTCACCGCTCCCCTCTGCTCGCCCCGCAGGCTCTCGGCTCTCTGTGCCCCACCGTCTGCCAGTGCCCGGCCGCCGCGCCGCAGTGCGCCCCGGGCGTGGGTCTGGTGCCGGACGGCTGCGGCTGCTGCAAGGTCTGCGCCAAGCAGCTGAACGAGGACTGCAGCCGGACGCAGCCCTGCGACCACACTAAGGGGCTGGAGTGCAACTTCGGCGCCAGCCCCGCAGCCACCAAGGGCATCTGCAGAGGTAAGAGCTGCCCGCAGCACGGTGCGGAGTGCCGGAGTTTAGTAACTTTGAGTCCATGTATGGTTATGCTTTGTTGTTGGTAGCTTGGCAGAAAGGCACATGACTTCAGCAGTCTGGAATGCGATTCAGTATGTCTGGGCTCCGCTAAAAGCACATAAGGAAAAGTGATTCCTGACTAACTTATTGTTCTAGCCCCGCGTCTCCGGGGGACTGTAGGGAACTTTACCATAAACCGAATTTAACAGAGCAGCAAAATATGTGTCTTTAAACGACCGATTCCCGGTGCTGACACCCTCTTCTCTCTCTTTTGCTCTCTGCAGCACAGTCTGAGGGGAGACCGTGCGAATACAACTCCAAAATCTACCAGAACGGCGAAAGCTTCCAGCCCAACTGCAAGCACCAGTGTACGTGCATAGATGGAGCTGTGGGCTGCATCCCGCTCTGCCCGCAGGAGCTCTCCCTCCCCAACCTGGGCTGTCCCAGCCCCAGGCTGGTCAAAGTGCCTGGGCAGTGCTGCGAGGAGTGGGTCTGCGATGAGAGCAAGGATGCGCTGGAGGAGTTGGAGGGTTTCTTCAGCAAGGAGTTTGGTCTGGACGCTTCTGAGGGCGAACTGACCAGGAACAACGAGCTGATTGCCATTGTGAAGGGAGGCCTGAAGATGCTACCTGGTGAGTGTGTGCTGATCTGTGTGACGGCAGAAGCTGAGGTGGGAGGGAAGCTGTGTGACTCTTTAGATTGACGGAAAGAAACTCAGGGAGAAGGCAGAGGTAGTCTAAGCCCCCCTTTTCTTTTCCAGTTTTTGGATCTGAGCCACAAAGCCGAGCTTTTGAGAACCCCAAATGCATTGTGCAAACAACTTCCTGGTCCCAGTGCTCAAAGACGTGTGGGACCGGCATCTCCACCAGAGTCACCAACGACAATCCCGACTGCAAGCTCATCAAGGAGACCAGGATATGTGAAGTGAGGCCATGTGGCCAGCCCAGCTACGCCTCCCTAAAGGTAAATACAAACACCTCTGGTGCTCCTTTTCTTTCCAAACTGGTTCAAGTAGAGGGTAAAGGCAGGACAAGGATCTCCCACTAATGATGTCATTGTCTCTTCTTTACAGAAAGGAAAAAAATGTACCAAGACTAAGAAGTCCCCATCCCCCGTAAGGTTTACTTACGCTGGATGCTCCAGTGTGAAGAAGTACCGCCCCAAGTACTGTGGGTCTTGTGTGGATGGCAGGTGCTGTACTCCCCAGCAGACCAGGACTGTCAAGATCCGGTTCCGCTGCGATGATGGAGAAACCTTCACCAAGAGTGTCATGATGATCCAGTCCTGCCGCTGCAACTACAACTGTCCGCATGCAAACGAAGCTTATCCCTTCTACAGACTGGTCAATGACATCCACAAATTTAGGGACTAAGTAGTATTTGGGGTGGGATGTTAAACAGAATTCTGAAGTAACCAGCCATGGAGAAAGGACCTCTGATGGAAGTGGTGCCTTGCCCATTCGAGGGCAATATGAGATATTACAAGAGTGCACTGTGCAAATGGACACTAATGCAACAGAGATTTAAGCATAGTTAAAGCTTCATAGTACTGGAGCAACTTTACTGCTTCTTTTTGGAGCACCTTTATCTTATACTGTTTTCTGTTTGTAAGTGATCTGATGTTTTATTCCGGTTATGAAAACTTTTCCTTTCCTGTTCAGTTTAACACTATGCTTTTCCCCTCCCCTCCATCTTCTCCCCTACTTTCCCAACCAAGTTGGAAGTTACATTCCTTCCTGAGGTGGGCACTTGTGGGGTGTTCACAGTGGCAGCTATTATGTACCAACTGTAGTTTAATGGCAAACAGAAATCAGTTGTTTTAAAGCTGAGTATTTTATTTATCAAACTGTAGCTCTTGTTTTCTTTTTTTTTTTTTTTAACCCCTTCGAACCCCTGTAATACTGGAATAAGTTGTAAATGATTTTAATTTTATATTCAATGAATTAAAAGAATTTATTTATGGAATTAATCATTTAATAAAGAAATATTTACCTAACTATTCTTAGTAGAGAGCATCTTGAAAGGCAACAGACTTCAGCTCCTTTCCAGGACCACTTTGAATCGTCTGGAAACCAAAACAGGCTCCACCCCAGGTACAGCAATGAATGAGTGAGCTGAGTCTTTGGGTAAATGGTATTTTGAAGTGGTATATGCAATCTGTCACCCTGTGCACTAGAAAGTGTATACAGAGAAAGCTTCCTGGCACTGAAAGCCAACGTTTGGAAGAGAGACTGAAATGTTAATTAGTCTGTCAGATTATTCAAACTGTCCTGGAATTTGCAACATAAGGCACTTCATTAGAATGCAGTGTGTGCACAGTGATGTTGAGCACTGGGGTGGGAGCGGTGGGCAGGTCTCACATTTTTGGTGGCTGCTTTCTGCAAATTAATGGAGTTCAGTGGAAGAAGAATGTTTCCTACAGTCTGCAGGAGGTAGTTGGCTTTCACTAAATTCAAATTAAATGAGCTTGAAGCAATGACTTTTGTTAATCCTAATAACCCAGTGATGAAAAGTAAACATACTGTTAACAGGAGAAGAATGTGAGGAATTTCAAGTACTTTTCCAATAGAGTAAAAGGCAAAGCAGCCAATCTTCTCCCTTCTCCGCCTTCCCTTCCCACTTATTAAATATGTAACTACACTTCAGGGATGGGGATGACATTTAGTGAACCAAGGGAGTCCTAAGATAGCTAGCTGGCGTGCATTAAGAAAGTGACATTTAAAAATAATCTACAGCAGGAACTGAGAAAGCTGTGTGAACCGTTTGTGCTATGCTGGTTAGCATAAAGCTGTACTACAGATAAGACTGAAAGGAAACCTGCAGCACCATTTTTTCCTCCTCATCATCACTCTTCTGGCATAAGCCCTTCCTGTGGCCTTTACTAAGGAAAGCACTTCTATAAAGCAGCAACTGATGGTGTTGTTTTGGAATTGTGAAGCACTGCCATCCACTGCTGTGCAGTTAGATGTGTAAGTGGTTAAGAGTTCACTTCTCATTTGATTAGGCATAAATACTTCAATAAAATAAACGGCCAAATATGTCGCTGGCAGTTAATGCTTTGCCTGAAAAAATTACAGCTGTCTCTCTTCTGCTCAGTCAAGTTTTCTCCCCGGAGGCATTCACAGCTTCAGCTGTTTTGGAATTTACCACCTGGCCACCAGTCTTAGCTGCACCTAAACCTGTCTGTACAATACTTGTTGACAGCAAGAGCATAAAACACAGTGAAGTGCTTTTGTTTTTTTTTGGTAACATCTGGCACTGAACACTTCCTTACATCACCTTTCGCTGAGAAATCACATTTACTCACGGGGCTACTGCATGGATAGAAGAGTGTGCTGTGTGCAGACACAGCGCTGCCTGCCCAGCCTGGGCCACCTCCACCTACAGGTACACCTGTGTAACACCTACCTTCAAAATGACCTAATGCAGCTCTCCTACAAATCACACATAGCTGTAACTACACTGTGCTACACGCACAGGCTGTTTGCCTAAACACGCATGTACACAAGCACCCATGGCCCCTCCTACTCCCATCTGGTATGCGGTTACAGGTGCAGGCCTGAGGTTTTGCAGCCCATGTGCTGGGCTTTCCATGTCCCATCAGGCAGAGAGGTGCGTCTGTCATCTCTGCTCAAAGAAGAGTTCTGGTGGGAGAGTAAGGGCTGCACGAGCAGGACATGCAGATTTTGAAGTAACGTGTACTAAATAAAATTACACTGTTATAAAGAGAGGAAAATGAACTAGAAATCTTCCAGAGTTGTTCCTCACCAGCTGCTCATCAACAACATTCTCTTTTCATTTGTTGTATTTCAGTTACACAGCAAAATGACAAGCCCACAACTCCCAGTATGGTGTAAGGAGTCAGCAGAGTCAACACCTCTGCATGTGCTTTGAAACGTCCCTGCTGTTCCAACACTAGATATTGCCGTGAAAATATCCATGATAAAAAGAGGAGTTCCTTCAGGTGTAAGCAGGAGGGATTGCAGGTAGGATAAACGAGCACAGATATGATTTTACATCTTGGTCAAAATCTAAGACATCCAAATCCTTCCTTCATGATGAATACTAACAGAACTGCAAAGAAGGCACGAGGAACATGACCAACGAACAGCAGCTGTAAGCATTCAGTAAACGCTGCTTATCACTGCTGCTCCGGCCAGCAGCCCCCGGCCAGCAGCCCCGCGGAGGGAGGACGGGGTCACCCGAGGATGGAGCGTGGCACGGCGCTTTGCCGAGGCTGCTGCTGCCGCCACAAGGAACTCCTGTCGAACTGCACCGTTAGGACTGTCGGAGGTCTGTTCTATCCAACGCAGTCACTTACAAGGGCCCGATGGTGGTTCCTGCTGTACTATCAGGGTTACGTGTAATATATACATACGCTCCCTACTGAAGAAGGCAACACAGTGAAGACAAACTTCATGCTTCCCGAAGTGCTGCATCACGGGAAGCACACGAAAGGCAGAAGCCAGCAGAAAGCAGCGCTCCCTCACTACGTTACGCCCTTTCCAGCAGGACTCTGCTAGCACTCTCATGAATGAGCAAGGAGGCTGAAGAGGAGCAGATGGGAGGAAAAGCCAACATCTCTCTGGCACAGCCAGCCAGCCAGCCACTAGTTAACCCGTTCTGAGCCTGCCACAAGGACTGCTATAAGCTCCATATAAGCTATCATGGAGCTGCAGCAAAGCCACATCTACCAGGATGCTCCAGGCAGCAGACCCACCTCTTGCTGCTGGGGGGAGCCTCGGTGAGCTGGTGGCACTGCTTACATGGGTGCCCACAGCGAGGGACAGCTGTGCACTTGTCCCGCAATCTGCCTCCGGATTGTGTTTCACACAGACGTGTCCCTGTTTTCACCTTCACCATTCTTTCCTCAGTGTTACATATCCTCGTAGAAAACAGCACACAGAAATACGGGGGAGGCCATTGAGAAAGCATCAACACAGTTCATTCTGGAGATACCTATAAATGCATTTCAGCTAAGGAACAACTGTGCTACACTGCAGCGTGGTGAGATTCGGTATATGGAAAATAGAAATCCAGCCAACAAATTTACACAATGAACACCAATGTGTACTGTCCCATGAAGACCAAAAACCAAGAGACCAAATAGACAGTATCCAGTATGCAATGACTCTTTTTTTCCCTAGAAAAACTACAGAGCTATGAATTCTACATACGCAATTTATGTTGGAGAATGTCCTGGAAGACCCCAAGGCACCATTCACAGAAGCAACCTCATCTGTCCTGAAGTACAACCACTTACCAGATGGAACACAGCAACCATCCAGAACGGAAACATCACACAAGCTCTTGTAAGGCTTTCACTCACTGGATGGAATACCTTTGTAAGTAGGGTGCACAGATTTGTGCAAATGGGAACTGAGTTAGGATAGAGACACTGACAACTTACCATCATGGTGAAAGCAGCCATAGTTTTAGTAACAGGAATGAAGAGACTGTTATAAATGTCAGTCAAACAGTCAAGAGTGTGGTTCACCAACATTTTGAGAACACTGTTTCCACATCTGATCAAATGGAGACCAGTGGGTCAGCAGATTCAAAGCAGCTGATTCTCTGAAACCACCGAGGTCCTTTAGCAACTCAAACCAAACAGATTAGATCCTAAAAACCTCATGAAATCTAACAAGATCAGACACTAACACAGCGTAGCCATAAATCCAGCAAGTTGTTAATGAGAACTTAAAACAGGAAGACACATTTTCCTCTATAGAAGTAGATACTTGCACTGCAGTGGAGCAACCCCATTAAAACCAATAAGGATGCCCAAGCACAGCTGAAAGTTGAAGCTGTGAAAAAAGATTAATAAAGGGAGATCACAGAGCTCACATATAAAAGTGATGGGGATTTCCCAGATAAGCCTTCTTTGCCATCACTTAGCTCTTTTTCCAGAATGTCTGTGCCTCAGACACCTTTTCCTCACTTGTGCCTCTACAGCACCTGGAAAGTCCCCTACAGGCACTCCTGGAAAAACAGACAACTTCTGGGGTTTAGGACATGATTCAGCAGAGAACCAGGAAGCAAAGAGTGGAAAGGCAATGGGCAGCTTTCACGCTTGTTTCTTTCTGCTTGTGACAGAAGTGGAATGACAGAAAGAAAGCACAATGTGATTTGAGAAATACTTTTGCTTTCTTCATAAGCTGGGATCACACAGCAACCAGCAAGCTCTCAGTGCAGTAGCAGTTTATTCTCTAAACTGAGACTCGCTCTCCCTCCTCACTTCTATCCTGCTTCTGTGGCAGATTATTTTTAACTTGTTCTAATTTGTCACACCACCAACAGCTGTCCTGATGCAACTGATGCAAAAAGTAGCCTCATGCAGAAGGACTAGACAAACATGAGGACTACTGCGCCAATTAAAGAAAAGTCCATCATTTCTAGCACAAGCAGGAGTCAGCAAGGGCAAAAAGACTTGCCTTTGCCCCAAAGGTAGGTAAAGTGCTAGCTTATTTCCACATATTACCACTGTATTAATTTTCCTGCTCAGTCTACTGTATTAAAATAGGCAGGAAAAGTTAGCAGTTGGGTAATCAGGCCAAGGCAGTGGAATTCTGCTTTCAAAACAACAACAACAAAATATGTTACGATACACAGAGCCAACGAGGGCAAGAAGCACTCAGTAAAAGCATCACTGGAGCAAAGCCACTGCTCTATGGGCCAGAGAGACCAGGCAGGGCACAGCAAGGACATGCTTCTGCTATCAGACCACAGAGACAGGCAGCAAAACAACTGTCCATATATTCTCCTGGTTTTATATGTCATCTGCAACTCTCCTTTCAGTTTCAGTATTTATTTTGAGTTGGTTTTGCTGTATTTCTTGTTTGTCTTCCATACATGTGATTTCCTTCCATCTCACCACAAATTTCTACCAAATAAAACCATATGCACTGCCATAGCAACACTGTAATACAAACACAGAGTAATCTTTGTTCATGAAGTACACAGTTGTTTTTTTTTCTCTCTTATTAACAGAATCTGCAACTGCATACATCAATGTCATGGCAACAACATAAACACAGATTCAAGATATTCTTTCTTCAGAGGGAGGAAGAATAAATGTTTTCAAGAAAAGTGTGTGGGATTTAAGGAAGCAGGATGAAATGTTTGTGACCAAATAGGGATGAAGTTACATCATCACAGCTGTGCACTGCTCTTTGAAGCCTGCTCTGGTAAGATGTAACACATTCTCAGCTCCTATAGGCAACAACAGAACACACCCCACCTGGCAGGCCATGTCTAAGCCACAGCTGTCCCCACACAACACACACGTGAGACTTCCCATCAGTGTGAAGGTGAACCCAAGCATTCATGCACTTTTTTAGACTAGATGAGGTCTCCTGCCCTGTGAACAGCTCTACTCCCAACACAAGGTGAAGCCGTGCTGTGTTGTCAGGTAGCAAGGCCTGCTCAGCTCTTCGCTCCCAGCTGCCTCTCAGGCAGCAGTTTCTGCAGCACAATCCTTTTTCCCTCTATGGAACAATTCCCAAGGGACATAAATACGGTAAAACCTAGAATTTGGGTGTGTTCACTTAAAACTCAGCTTCTGCACTGACAGGAGCATGATGCTGTTTGCCCATGACAGTTCCATGACTTATGCCTCATACCGCAGGAAGTTATACAAAAAAGGAAAAGAACCAAGTTCTCCCATATGACTGACTCAACCCCACTTCTCAGATATTGCTATGCCCTTAGCTATGTGCTATTTTTGTTCCTTGGTTTGTGAAAGGGATGACTTCATTAAACATTCTTCTTTTTTTTTTAGCAGCATGTTCATTGAGTACAAGAGGCTTTACTCTGCTTTGTAAGCCAATGGCCCTTCAGTTCAGCATGCTGTGAGTGCTCAGGGCTTCAAACCCGAACAATCTAAACATTAACAGTGCCATAACACCACATGCAAATAGCTTGTTCTTTTCTGGGACAAGCAGTTTATAGAGGAAAACAAATGAGTGAGCATAGTAGGCATAAAATCAAGCACTCAACACAAGCTTGAGCTGAATGACGAAGATTAAAATATCAACACAGGGTTTCCATTTGCAGACATCATCTGCACTAAATCAAATAGGAGTCCTGTACTGGAATCCCATGATAGCATGATTGTGATCCCATGCTTTCCAAATGGATTGAAGTCTTCCAAACAGCCTCAGCTGTGTCTTAAATTTCAACTGCTTAACCAGAAATTCAAAAGTATGTTTAAGATGGTTATGTCTCTTGGGGAGGGATTAAAAACTTCCAATTGCCTACAAAGGTATGTAAGAGTGGATAAAATCACTTGATCACTTGATTAAATCACTAAATGTATCATTATGATGAATGCTTGCAGGACCTGCACCAGTCAACTGTCATCACTAAAGCTGGAGCAAAAATCATTCTTTTGAATCATTTTTATATTAATTAAAAAAAAAAAAAAAAAAAAAAAAAAGAACTAGCTAAACTGAGCCAGAATATTCTGATTCCATTTTGGCTTGCATTTGATGAATGCCTATACTCAACAAAGTGTAACTGTTACAAAAAGCAAAACAAAAAAAAACAGTGATACAATAACGAATGGCAAATGCACTGTATTAACGTGGACTTTTACTCTCAGTTCAGATCTGGAAGATGGCTCATAGTTTTGTCTGTCAAATGTCATTTCCAGCAACCATTCTATGAACAGCACTTCAAAATGCTTAGGATTTTCTCTAAGGTAAGAAAAGATTCACATCTGTAAGATAGATTTAACAGCATTTTCATTTAAAAACAAATTAGGGTTGTGTTCTGACTCCCATGGGAGCTTAAACTAGATATATATGAGAAAACACAATGTGGGGAAACCCTCTCATTCTATCAACGAAGACCTCCATGAGCAGGAAATAATGCAAATCACATCTATCACAGATCTGTGTTCCTCAGCCAAAGACTAATCACAATCATCCGCAGACCAACATGAATATCTGCAGCACTCCCATTCCCCTGCATGCTCCAACTGCACAGAACCACCACAGTGCTACTCCAGACGAAACATTTCCTGGCAAATGAACCGTGGCAGTTTTGCTGTTCTGCTCTTCTATAGGTGTTAATATGAATGGCTTCAAGAGCGGTTTAAAGTAATTTGTGGCTACCAAATGAGCATGCAATAATCACTGATTAGGAAAAGCTTATTCACTTCCACTGAACTGAAAAAATATGAAAGCAACACCTATAGCTAGGAATTGCAGTCCTTTAAATAGGGTTAAGAAAACAAACACTGAAACAAGATGTGGGCAGAAGCCCAACAATGATTAAAAAAGAAAACAGCGCACAGGTGGCTACTGCCAGGAGAGGAGAAAAGCTTCCCTGTTTTATCAGAGCTTGCAAAACAAACAGAGGAAAAAGCACACAGTGTCCCTGTGAGGAGCAGCAGTACGTGCCTACCAAGGTCTAATGTTCTTTCCAAGCCTCATTAGCTGAATGTAGCTGTGAACAATAATTTAATAACAATTTGTCTGCAAAGGCGTGAATAAACTTCTACACAGCTCTTGAACATCTCAAAAATCTCTTCTAGGTATGGCTGGCAAGGACCAGACAAGCTGGTGCTGAGGTATGGGTGGAGCCTCTGGGAGCCTGAGCCCTTCTCCATATTGCTGTCATAGCCCCCCGAGACCTCAGCATGACTTCACTGCTAGGTGCTGGATTTTTATCTGTAATGTCAGTTCCAGCTTTCTATCTGCAATGTCAGTCACTGGCTTGTGACTGACAAACCACCTCCATGGGAGCTGCTGGTCAGAGCATCCAGCCTTGCACTCAGGTGGCTGCCCAGTGGGCATCCCTTGCACCACCTTTTGTCACAAAGGTGACAGCCTCAAGCAGGGGGCAAAATGAAGTGGCAATGATGGCAGCAACCACCTCATGGAGCTGTTTGCCATGTAATCATGGGCTGATGACTTTGCAAATGCTTCAAAAGTTTAGTTGATATTTCAGTATTTACACTATCAGGCTTCAGTAGGTAATTTCCAGATGCAAAACATCAGCACTTATAAGAAGTCCAGTGCATCAGCACTAATGGCACTCCGTGGACTCACTTCTATTTTATTTTTTAAACTGAGGCAAATTTAGAAGATGAAGCATGCCACCCCCCAAAAAAGTGTAACTTGCTCTCTCCTTAACATGAGGCAGGATGCAACCAAGCATAAAAAAAATAACCTACTGCATCAGGCACCCAAAACGTTGCCGCAGAAGACTGAAGTCCAAATTAAAGAAAGATCACATGCAGCAGCTTTACATGATGAAGAAATACTCTAAAAGAAAGTTGATCCAATGAAACACTAGATTTTATCAGTAAGTTGAAGTACACTGACTCAAATCCACAGATAAACACAAATATGCAGTATTTACACTTTTAGAAATCTGACATTGAGGTGCTATGATAAAAAGAAAAAATACACATTGTTGAAGTCAACTTGGAAACTTTACATTTGGGCTATTGACTCAATAGAGATACATGGACAAAGGGGTGCTATGCAGTAAAATCAGCAGATTTTTCTGGAACCAGCCACTCCCAATCTCTTTATTTACATACCTAAATATGCATACTAAATCCAAAGTCAGGGAGGCAGTTTGGAAGTGCTGCCTTAAGTGAAGCAAACCAAACTGAACCTGAGAGAAAATCAGTTGTGCAAAAAAGATTTAATTAAATAAGGAAATATAAAAGGCTCATCCCACCCTCTTCTCTCATAGAACTGTCATGAACTCTCCCGAATTTCTCCTTCTTCCTCAGAAGAAAGGGACGAACTTCCACTGTCCGAGTCCTCCGCAGATTCACTGGCCTCTGAGGGTGTAGGACACAAAACAAACAAACAAACAAACCATTAAGCCATTAGTTTCAGCAATTTCTTTTTCCAGTTTGCTCACACAGAAGCAGTGTTCTCATTATTCTTTTCCTTCTAATCACAGTTTCCTCAAGGATAAGTATTTCATAACGTGGAACCATCTCAATAGAGGATACCGCCCTGCAAAGGGCCTTGATGCTGAAGGAGGAAGCAAGGTAATGTTAGGGATTCTTTTAGGTTTTAAATCTCAGTCTCTCAGTCAAGCAGCTAAGTAGAATATTCATCCCATACAAAATTTTTCATCTACTGAGTTCAAATTGTTCTCTTGATTTGTTTTAAATGTTGTTTTTGGGGTTGCTACATAAACGTATTACAACTGTAATGAATTATAAATCATTAGCAGTTTTGTTAGGCTTTCAGTTAAGATGGGAAACTATTGAGAAATTCTAAATGGACAATTAAGATGAGGCACATATGTGCTCCTTCCTCATATTCCAGCATCCCAAAGATGGTGTCAAGCTGCATGAATCCATGAGCTAAGGCTGATGAGGTTAAAGCTGCACAGTAACTTGTGCTTTAGGACAGGCTGCTGCGTTCTGTTGAGCCCACATCATGAAGCAATCATTTCCCAAACTGGTCTTAAGCCATGCATCCCGAGAACCCTTCCTTAATGAGCACTGACTCCTGTCACCTCGCGGTGAGGTCACCAAATGCCACTGGTTGGTGGCACTCAAGTAGCACAAAAATAAACTACAGCCAAGTAGGCACGCGATTCACATGCTGCTCTCATTGATATTTTCAGCATTTGATCCAAATAGGAATTCAAAGACATTTTTGAGCATTTAATGTCAGAGGCTTCATTAGGAAACATTACTCAAAGGGAACTGATGAAACACAGTTACTGTCTTGTCTGGATTGGTTCTACATCTGGCAAACATGGATAATACACAGGACACAGCATGCACCTGTACAGTTTCAATGGAATTTGTACAAGAAAATAGAAGCATTTCACCCAGAAACATCAGAGGTCACATTTTGTCTACATTAAATCTAGTGTATAATCAATTAACATTTATATGCCAGATATGTACGGAGTAATGCACAAAGTAAGGATTATTTTTGCCCCTAAGCCCTGTGAAAACTTCTATAATCCCCTACTATCTTCAGCCATGACTGACCTTGTATGCTGAAATCAGAGCACCTGTATTTTTTGCAATGAGCAAGTCAGGCATCAAAGCACTGCATGAAAGAATGTGGCAATCTCCTGCCTCGCAAAGAACCTCAACACACAAATCTTCACTTTGATTTAGCCTGTTATAAGTTTTATTTAACACATATATAGATTGCCTGCACTCAAAAAGAACATGTTTTTTTTTAAATCTTGATAGCATTGCCTAAGATTGCCCAGTCTCTGCCATCATAAAACTCTTGGCAGTTTACTAAATGTAAAATTTGAACTCTAGGTTTAAATTACTTGCAAAAACAAAAGGTAAAACAACCGAGTGTTGCCACGTTCTCCTTTACTCTGTAAAGGGTCTTAACACGAAACAGGAGCTTGATGATGATGACACACTGCTACAGAAGAGATTTTCTTGTCTAAAAATAACAGTGACATAAAGACCCTTCCCACTCTGATGTTCTGAACATGCTTTTCCTGAAAGAATATGGAGGACTGGAAACTTGGGAGAATTCAATACCAGAAAAGAAAGCGCTTGCTTGCAATACCCTGTCTGTGCCATATGCCTAAATACACAGCCAAGCCAGAGCAACTACAGTGTAAAATGCTTAGCTTCCATGTATAGGATCCTAAGAAGCACTAAAGGGAAGAGGGAAAGCTTACAAACACATACAAAATATCTTCAATATTCCTAAGCTAAAAACCTCACTAGAACTTACAATTTGCAATGCTCTGCAGGTCACTATTCACTTCTATTCTGATTCATTGTTACTACTTGGCCAGAAGTATCAGGAATATAATTGTTTTGCCAAGGCAACTTTCAAATGTAACATTTCGGCTGGCCGGATAGAAAAGTAACATCCTCCACAAGTCAAACTCTAAGGCTTTATGAAAAAGACAAAAATGGAAAAAAAGAAAAAGAAAAAAAAAAAGAAAAAAAGATTGGAAAGACAGAGGTTTTTTTTTTTTTTTTTTAAGATTATATAATCCTGTTGAGATACTTGCATTTTTAACATCCAGAGATGGTACTTTTGGAAAGCAAATTATCTTACAGCAAATATTCGATATGGGTTGAAATGAGTGTGATATGACAACAGTTGTGAAAAATCTGGTTATTTTTGCTATTAGCTATCATGTCTTCCTGCCACAACCTGAACACCTCAACATGCGCTCGACTGTGAAGAAATTTACAGAACGGTTACTAAAGCAAAATAAGAAAATTAATGCTTCCCAAAACCTGCAGTAGTTGCCAATATTCCCTGAATACCAGTTTTGGGGATGAGGGCTAAGTGAAGGATCCCTGCAGCAGAACAGGGTCACTGTCTGGAAGATGCATCCTTGCACTGCACTGGGTCGAAGAGCTATCTGCATCTTCCCAGCTATCAGCTCACTCCCCTCACCCTTCTGCTCCGCATTCATACAGAACCACTCAGTCACTCATTCACCACTTCTTGGTGTCTGTGCCCTTACACACACAACCCCTCCACCAGCTCCAGAGGTGATAATGACAGCCACACAGGTCACATTGAGTTTATGAGTCAATCAGTTCTAATTCCCTCCCGATATCTAAATCGCAGGCATAGGGCTGACTACCTTTTGGTAGCAAGGGACCTAGACCTAGAAACAATGGATAAACCAAGGTACCTAGTTTCTGTGTATAGCAGTAAATATGCAATGCTAGGGTGGACATCAGCAAATCAAGCTGCTTAGACAAGACTCCTGTCTCATTCCTTGGCACGCTGTCTCACTCTCTCCTGCAGTTCATAGCACAAGAAATGTCCACGTGCAGTTTCTTGCAACAGATCACTCAGTGAAATCCAGCCAGAACTGTGAAGATCCATGGACATTTGATACCACGGTACAATATCATTAGTCTCAGATGTATTCAGTCTCATTATACACCTACAGATCTGTGATTCGGTTGCTGCAGGGAAACAGTAACAGCCAATCTATTTTGAAGCTTTTCTGATAGGGTGACCCATCACTGAAAAGTGCGATTGGATGGCTAAGTTGACAACTAACTGGGGGCTCAAAGCTGAGACACAGACTCAGGGATAAATATGAAAATGAACTTCAAAACTAAAATACAAATTTCTGCTAGACCTGGATTGCCCACTAAGCTAATTTCAACATCAAAGCTTTTCCTCAACTAAACACAAAATAACAGTGCTTTATCCTACCCAAGAAAGCTGCTTTGCCATTACCATTTCAATAACTGTACTGTAACTGAGGATTATTTGTCCAATTTTAGGAGTTACACTGGGAAATCACGATGATTCCCTTTTCTGGAGTAGGCTGACTTACAACTAATCTTCCCCTGACAGATCAACATTTTAGAAACAAACAACTCTGCTGAAATGCTATGCACAGAATTTAGCCTGCATTACCTTAGTGGCTAAAATTATACAAAAAGGGATGAAGCACCAGTAAACAAACTTAGGACAAACACATACAATACTGCTTACTGATGCAAGCCATCAACTTTAACATTTACGACAGAACATTTATAGCAGCTTTTTTATAGCAATCTTTTAGATTCCGAGGGAAATAAATACAAGACGTACAGTACATTCCTGGCATTAATAATGGGTGTATCCTTGATTATTGTTTATTCAACTAAAATATCTAAGTATAGCATAACAGGAAATAAATATATGCTTACCTTGGCCAAGAACCACCATGTCATTCTTCAATTTTTTCAAGACCACAAATAACGTTGGGTACTCAATTATTACTTTGTTTTTCAAATTTTCTAGGAGGCTTCTACTGGCATCCAGTTCATTGTACCTTAAAAATAACAGGAAAGTTTATTTTGGATTTTAATACTACCAAGAACATAATGTACACTTTCTAAAAAAAAAAAGAACAAAAAAAAAGTTTTCTGGCAGTTCATAGGATTTTCAGATGATATCATGCTCAGAAGAACTATCTTATGACTCAAATCGCATATTTGGGCTTATTATCCAACCACATTCATTTTATTTTTAAACCCTTCTAACACCTAAGAGCAAGAGGAAAACTGAAATCAAATTGCTTTACAGGCTAAGATATTTCCAGAGTTCTTAATGAATATCTTGACCAAAATCAGGTTCTAAACTGAAACTAAGACTTACTGTTCTTGTTTTCCCTCTCAGTTACTCTCAGAATATGTTTAATACACGTGTGTGCTTCTCTTTTTTCATGCTTACTGGCTTTTTAACACTACAGTTTTAATTTATATGGTTAATAATATATCCTATGACGTTTGCTTATGAATTATCATTTAAGTTTTGGAAAGACAGAATAAAAAGCATACACGGTCTACCATTAAAGCAAAGGAACACCAGAAGAGCTCTGTTTTAGTAGAAGTAAGGCTTGTTTACCCAGGTAAGACAGCAATGACTGCCACTGGAGCACTCATTTCCACAGACGGTACAAAACCTCTGCTTGCAGCACCAACTGCAGGAAACCCCAGCAAAGAGCTGTGCATCTATGTGTGCTACAAGAGGCACATGACTCAGTTGCTCAGCCCTGACCCACAGAAGAGCTCCTCTTCACCGTGAAGGGTGAAGCTAGTTTTAAATAGCCATATTAGTAAACATAGTAAAAACTACACTGAACATCTTCTCGACAATTACATCCTAGAAATGTAATATTCTCTCTCATCTCTATAAGAGGAAACCTGGAATCTTGGGGAAAGCAAGCACTATTTCAAAACCCTCTTTACAACAGAAACCCTGTTTCTTTCACTTGATGCAACCGCAGCATCCAACAAGTGCTCTGATATTACACTACAATCTGAGTTATGCAATTCTTTCCGTAATCAGGATTATTCAATTACTATTAAGCTACTGTATCACTTAAAGCCAAAGGTAGTTCTGAACCAAAACACACTGTGGGCAATAAACTTCACATAGCTGCTCTGCCTTCTCTGATCATTTATATATTATGCAGTTGGGCTTTCTTTTGTCATTCTACTCCCAAAGCAAAAACAAATAAACAATGAAGTCAATAAAAAAATCTCACAAAAAACATAAAAAACCAAAAACCACTGGATAGGTGAAGGGAATGTATCCTTCCTGATTTTCAGTAATGCGTGATAAAGACCTGTACATCAGAGGAATCAGTAGACAAGATTACTGAAGGCAAAACAGGATTTTAGTTCTCTGGATTTCAGAGAAACATAGTTTGAACAAAAACTATTTTTCTCTCATATTCAACTTCAAATCATCATGAAAATATTTGGTTTCATGTTTCTCTCAACCCAAAGAGATTAAGACCTGTTCTTAGAGAAACCCTTTAACAGGGATAAGAGTATACTGCATTTCTTACTGAATGAATATATCCATAACTTATGGATTAATACACATGAGGAGAAATATATTTACTGCTTTATTTACAGTACTCTAAATGCAAAGTATGGCAATACCTTTCCTTTGGCAAGAACTTCAACACATTCTTTTCTGATTAAGCAAACATTTACCACTAAGAGGCTAAACTAATTCACATGCCACAATACACTTTCCATTATCTCATGTTTTAGACAAAACATCTTTAGCGTCCAGCTTGGCATAAGATAAAACATTTGTCCTTAGAACTATTTTATGATAGTAAATTATTAAAGTGTTAGATCACTAAGTCAGAGCTTTATCTTTTTTGTTCTTAAAGTATATTTTATTGGTTGGCAATGGCAGAGAAAAAATCCACATGTTTAGTTCATAATCTGTGCTGCAAACTTCAGGGAGAATATAACAAAGAGCCTAGAGCTTCTTGTTCTCAGATTTACTAGTTTGTGTCTATTCTATCCAGAGACCCCAGTCCCTCCTTCCTTTACACACAAACACACGTTGAGGTTTTATGCTAATCCACCTGTCAGCCACTTCCTTCACTGAGCACATTTATGATCTTGAAAGAAAAATACCTGTCACTCAATTCCAGTCAAGCACAGGATGGTTCTGCTGAGCAAGACTGACTTTTCAGGTTCTCTGACAGACTTTATCACAATGAAAACCTCCCCAATTTATCAAAGAAGTGTAACAGTCATACCAGAGTGGGTGAGCAGCACAAGCCTCTAGCCATGAGACCGCCTGTAATACAGCTTTTCCAGAAACTTGACCTCACCACTTCAATTTTTTATTGTGAAAAGGTTAGACCTGCTTGGAGAAAAACCAAAAAGCACGAATCCTAAAACAGAAACAGAACAGCCTCTTACAAGTCACATACCACAATGTGGTCAGGAGCCGAACACGCAGACCCTGGTGTCAGAACAGGGCCAAGGCCTCACCACAGACAGGGTGGGCAAGGCTGGCACAGTGTGATGAAAACTTGCGCCTGGCATTCTTGTTCTCACCATGTTTACCTGCTTGTCCTGTACCACTAGGACTGCCTAGCTTGCCAGTAAGAACCTACACCAGGCTGCAACTTGTTTCAGGCCCTTCAAGTTCAAACCTACGTGTGATGCATCACAAGCCTGAAGAGTAAATTTGGAAAGAACCAAGTAATACACACAGTTTTTTGCTTAACTTGTGGTTACACATGCTGCTGCAGAGCATCTTTCCCATTCTGGCACTGAACACAGACTGCTGGCCCCCTCTGCCTCACTCAGCTTCCCAGTTCCTGCACTCAGAGAGACCTCTCTTTACATCCTCCCTGGATCTTTGTCCCTGGTATTTACCTGCTACACGTTTCCTCTGCCCCTTCCATTCACTCCCTCAGTTTCTGTTTCCAACTTATCCAATGTACTTTCCCGAATATTTTCCTGCCCTAAGCAAGGCTTTATGCCCTTGTCACAAAGTAGGAAAATGGCCTGAATTTTTTCTTCAGAAGATTCCATTTATAAGGACCACAAAGAGACAATCTTGGCAGACAACAGCTTTTGGTTTTAGCTGGAATGAAGTAACAATAACGGCTTTTTAAAAGACAAAAATTAAACAAAAATTGCCTGCCAGCAGGCAGTTTAAAAGCCTACAAAAATTGAGACAACTGAGAAAATTTAACAAGATTCAGCAATCCTACATCTGTTCCCTTAGAATCTTTTGCGTTTCTTCTATGCATTGCTTTGCTACTTTTAACACATTGCTGAAGTGAATTGTGGCTCTGCACTTTTGCTAGCACCTGCAAACTTCTGTAAAGGGTAATTTCACTATCTATAGCTATTCTACTACCTTCCAGGAATTCAAAAATTCAGCCTCCTGATCTGTCTCCCACACACAGGAATGCTATATTAGGTCACAGCGTCACAACAAACTCTCTCAAAGGGAGCTCTGGGCTATCATTCACTGGTGCAACTTGTCTCCACGAATTCAGACAGCAGGAAATTCCCTGCTGATCAGGTTTTCCTGAATGTCATCTACAGGAACTTTGATTTTAATAATAGAGAAAAATCTGCAATCTGGAATTAAAGATAAATTGTAACCATGTTATTTCTTTAATTTAGTCTTCTAGCTACTGGAAGGAGAATAAAGAAGTTTTTTTTTTTTACCAGCCTAAATAATTACAAACATCAGTAAAATAGATGTTTGCATAACTATGTTCCTAACTTTCCTGAGAGAGATATCAGCTAAAACTTTTATTCACATTTTAAACAAAGATGATTTTTCTTCCTAGAATTGAGTAGAAACATCAAAATATTTCCTTTGCATAATTCAGATACAACAAATCATGTTTATCTACTTCAGGCCAAATCCTAAAAATCCACAATATTCTGCTAATTTATGAGAAGAACGAGCATTCCTCCCCCCCTTCAATGTCCCCAGGCAAAGGAGGGCAGCATTTTCTATCTGCATTTGCCTAGAAGAGAGCAAAGACCGAGTACAGCTTTTAAAGGCTCTCCCAAGCACTCATTGTGAAGTGCTGTAGCATAGCAAAGATAATAGCTACCAGATGGACTTTCATTCCTAAGTGGTGAATAACCTCTTCGTGTGGTTATGATTTGGTGAACATGGAAGTAGTGAAATGTACTCTTGAATTAGATATGAAAGGAAAGTTATATGGCAGAAAGTAAACATGACGTACTGAAATAAAGCAGACTTTTAATATTTAACTTTGTCACAACTCTGACATTCTAAAAATCTAGAACAGTATATTTTTTTTTTTAGTCCATATGCATGGAAAAGGATTAGAAAATTCAGTAAGAAAAAGGGCAGTCTTAAAAAAAAAAAAAAAAGAGAAACAATAAAGAAAATTACTTGCAGTAATACTTCCTTTGTAACATAATTCTTAACAACAGCAGAACAATGCAGAAGTCTCTACTTTGCCTGAACACTCTTAAGAGATGGGGAACAATCAAATTCAACTTAATATTTTTATACAAAAATTGTAATAGTGTTTACATTGATATTTTAAAACCTCTAAGCTCCTCCTTTCACTCTTCTCTATGGTTTCCCTCCTAGTGGAGAATCTCCACAGTCAGCCTTACCCATGCACAGTTTAATCCATACCAATACAGATAAGATGCCTGAACAATCCTTTTTCAAACCAGATCACCATTTTCAGCAACACCTCTATCACAGCACAGTAATTTTTTCTTCTTTTCAGAAAAAAAGGAAATATTAGGACAAGAAGCAACCTCTTCTTACCAGCATTACCAGCCCACCTGTCCTGTTGGGAAGCAGCTGAAAAAGCATAGGAAGAAAAGCTGCCAGTACACCAAGAAAAGCATCACACCACGAAAAGCATCTCAGACTTCACCATCAACTCCTAACTACACCTATATACAGAGAATGCAAAAAGGCACATAACAGAAAATATGACATTGTTCCTTTTCATTCCTATATTTTAACCATAGGCCGTCTGTACACACAAAAATC